CAATGTTTCTTTCACAGATTGTTCTGAAGAGGCCAATGGCATCCCTTGTTCCTTTTCCTTTTCTGAATCCAAATTGTTCTTCACATAGAAATGTTTCAGCCTTGTTGTAGAGTCTTCTGTTAATGATTTTAAGAAGGATTTTTGAGGCATGTGAAATTAAACTAATTGTTCTAAAATCACTACACTTTTTAGCTTTTGCTTTCTTTGGTATAGGTATCAAAATACTTTGAGCAAAGTCTTCAGGCCATTCTCCTGTTTTATATATGAGATTGCATAAGTCTGTTATTTTCTCGATTCCTTCCTTGCCTAACCCTTTTAGAAATTCAGCTGGTATTCCATCTACTCTTTCTGACTTTTTTGTTTTTCAATTCTTTAATTGCCAATCCAACTTCATCTTTCATTATAATAGGTCCTCTTTCATCATTAGCTATTTGAGAAGATTTTTCCAATTTTAACTCTTTAGGTTTGGTGTTCTCTCCATAGAGATCTCCAATATATTCTTTCCAATTGCCCATTATATCAGTTGGGGTTAAAAGTGCTTTTCCATCTTTGTCTTCAATATTCAAAATTTGGTGGGTGCGATCATTTGTTAGTTCTTTGACTTTTTTGTATGATAGATCATATCTGTCTTTTTTGTTCAGTTCTTTGATTTCCTCACATTCCTTACTTAACCAAGTTTCTCTAGCTTTTCCAGTTTCACGCCTCAATTCATTATTTAGCTTCTTGTACATCATTCTCCCTTTTTCATTATTTATATTTTTTCAATTTCTTCTTTCATCCATTTTCTCAATCATTTCTTGAGTAATCCAAGGTTTTTTTTATTCTAGTACCATTTACATATTCAAGAAAATTTTCAGCCGATTCCTTTATTGTATCTTTAATTCTTTTCCAATTTGCGTTTGGGTCAAACTCACAGTCAAAAGTCATATGGAAGTTCTTTTAATTTATATTCCAGGTTTTCTTTAAAATTTAATCCAGTATTTCCATTTAGCTTTTCCAAATTCCATCTTTTTATTCTTTTGGCTCTCAAAACTTTTTTCAATTTCACCACAATATCTGCAGTTAATAAGTTGTGATCAGAATCTGCATCTGCTCCTGGATATGTCTGAATTTTCTTGACTGCATTTCTAAAACGACTTTGAATGAGAATATAATCTATTTGATACCTTCCAATGTCTCTGGGCATTTTCCAAGTGAATAGTCGACATTTGGATTGTTTGAACCATGTGTTTCCAATTATTAATTGATGCTTGGTAGCAAATTCAACTAGTCATTTGCCTCTTTCATTCCTATTTCCTAGCCTAAACTTGCCCACAATTTTTCCATCTCCTCCTCCTCCTACAGATGCATTCCAGTCTCCCATAACAATTAGGCATTTCTTACTTTTATCATTTTCTATTATATCTTCAATTTGGTCATAAATTTCTTCTACTTCTTCATCGTCATAGTCTCCAGTAGGCATGTATACTTGAAATATCATCATATCCATGGGATCGCTTTTTATTTTAATCATTAAAATTCTGTCACCTCTGCATTCAATTTTTTCAACAGGGTTTTTTACCTTCTCACCTAAAATAAATGCTACACCATTCTTTCCTTTAGTTCCACAAGAATAAATAACCCTGAATTCATCGCTAAAAAAATCACCACTCTCCTCCCATCTAACTTCACTAAGCCCAAGAATATCCAAATTCTGCCTCTTCATTTCTCTCTTGACATTTTCCAACTTACCTGGTCAAAGCATGGTTCTTACATTCCATGTTCCTATTCGAATTCTTCCTATGGAGGTCTTCCTATGGGGGTTTTGCATGGTGACGACCTGGGAAGCCCCATAACTTCCCCTGCCGGGCATGACACCTTTATTTTGGAGATGAGTCCCATATTTGCCAGTATGATAAACAGGTTTTCTGCTTTCTATTAACAAGGGAGGTATAGCTGAGGTGGTTTCCCGTTGCCTTCCTCATGGTTTCTGATCAGAGTTTTCCTTCTCCTAGGCAGGTTGCCTACCAACAGCTTCTACTGTACTATTTTAGATTCGATTTTTTGTTTTTATCTGTGTTTTAGTAGGGTATGCCATGGCAATGCACGCTAAGAAGGGATTTTTCAAAATTCCCCCGTGGGCGGGAGAGGGAGAGGATTTAGTCTTCATCGAGTACTTAGGTGTATTAAATTAATAACGTTTCAGACACTGTTATAAATATTTTATTCTACTTTGATTTTAAAAATGTTTGAACCGTTTTAAATTCAAATTTGTTATTGCGTATTGTTCGATTATAGAACGATTGTAAATGTTCCAGAAAATTGATCAAATTGAAAATAGTTCGTTTGATTCTCGGTAATTCTCATCATTCTCAGCGGTAGGTATTATATAACAATTATTATGGTTATTGAAATATTGAATGTAAATGGGGTTTGCTTGCAAAACCTCCGCAGACGAAGTTGCGGGTAACAGCTAGTTTGAAATAAGGAAAAGAAAAAAAACAAATCAATATTTTTAAATATTTTTAGTGAATTAAAAAGTAGTGCTTTATCATATTAGGATTTTATCTACCAATTTTTCAGTGTGTTCAATAAATATCTCATTTTTTGTGGTTAAAGATAGTTTTAAGATTGAAATCCAAATTACTTTTGCTAAATTTCTAAGAAGCAGAATCTATTCTATTACTAAGCATCTAAATATAGTACCTTACTGGCAGTGATGACATTTGAAATTTTTAACAAAGGGTTCGCTAACAGAAAATTTTTCCTTAACAATTTTTTTTTCGCTCAAACGGTGCATCGGAAGGCTCTAGTTTAGTAGTGTTACAGAGTATAATACGTATATTTTAATATTTTTAAAAGAATCAAACCATTGAGAAATGTTACATGTGTTTAACAAGGTTCGGAAAACTTTGA